ATCACTGTGCCTGTATGAGGGCGCTGACCGATATCAGTAATCGCTGTCAATGAAGTTCATGCTACCAGTTTCTATTCAGATCGCCTGAGCATCGAAAATATAGCTGAGTCGAACGCTTGTGACAGGCTGGTTAGCTCTAAGTTGCCCCCAATGTCAGATTCTTCTTCTTTCCACTATAGGTGACACCGTTACCGGCAGTGAAGCACCAGTTCTCCCCTCTGGTGTTGTTTCCAAAGAATTGTGTCCGTTGCTGAAGCGTTATTTCCACCGGTAACAACCGCTCTGCCACTTCGTCTTCAAGATATCCGAACACGTCGACAGGATACTGGAAGTAACAGGGACTTCGTCTCCAAAGAGAAAACCAGAAACCTTGTTGGTAAGGTCATACGAAGTTCTGAGGCAAGTGGGTAACTTATCAGTCAAAGGATTTAGAATGCCTTCTAGAAACCTGGTTAGCTCATGTGATGGCGAACCGTCTGTTGTCGGTTTTGTAAGTACGTAAACTCAGAACAGTCCATAAGGTCGCGGTTGGGTCACACAGAATGAACACTCTGACACTCACTTTGATGCAAGCGGTTGATCACTGACCTCAAATATTTCCAAACTTCAAATTTACTCTTAGTGACTGTTGATTTAATCGCCTGGCTTCTAATCTCTCCGCAACGTCCAATCTTCTGTGGATAGTCGCACTTCCTCATGATGACTACGGCACTACCATTATTCGTCTTTGTGATTAGTGTGATATCCAATCGTTTTAATACAGTGAACGATCTCCGCCTTTGTGGCGCAACAATTGAAGATCCTGACTCCAGAACGGCGAACAACTACGATCGTAGTTCCTTCGCTTCTATGGAAGGAAACGCTCGAAATACAGAAGTCATTTCTACGCCTTTGAAACTTCCGCTTACCGCAAAATTTGGTCTCTTATAACGGACGGCGTTCTTCCCAAATGGATGATCGGCTGGAACTATAAGTCGTGAAAAGGAACATTTCGAACTTTCCTTTATGCGTTAACTTGGGCCAATTTTATACGTCAATCTGGTGTAACCAGGCGATCATCTGAAATGTGCGAGGGTGCAATCCGAAGTTCGGTGATAAACAGACATGCATGGCGACGGGTATAAGCCAAGTTCTGAGTTGACAGATGAATCCTTAGTCTACAGACTGTCTTGAATAATGTTAAAAACATCCATGCAAACGCGGGAAGTATATCCAACAAGCCAACAACCCACAATACGTTATTAACATCGGCGGTTTCCCCATTTTTCTTCAACCCCACCAAATCGAGTATATTCAATTGATGACTTCCGAACCCATAGTCCTTCGTTTCATAGTGAATTGGAAAAAGTTTACAGTCAACCAAAAATTCACCTCTTGATCGAAGTTGGATGAACAGTTGAAGGGTAGACGACCAGGAGACGTTTGCTTTTGACATAAAGGCATCGTCAGGTCAAGTGACTAAGTTACCAAGCTAGTCTAGTTTTAAGGCTGACGGAGAAACAGTCAGCAAGGTTCTCATTGACTGGTGACTTGAATCATCGTTGAGTAACGCACAAGAGTTTTTATCAATTATCGCAGTCGTCCACAGAAATCGTTTGTACGTAAGATGCAAAGCACGGATCGACCAAGACACGAGTAACCTCCCCCACCTCATAAAAAAGTCGCATCGTGTACTAGCGCTGTACACATCAAGGAAATTCGTAAGTGACACTCAACTGGGGCGTAAGAAAAAGACCACAAATCTGACCCAGTTAATGATATTCCCTCCTAACTCATCGATAGTAAAAGTTACCTACGGTAAACAGCTGAACGAGGTTGTGCATTCACAGGACCTCCAAGTCAAGTGGAGCACCATTCTCCGACAGTGAAAGTCCCCCAAAAGTGCAAACGATAACTACAGGTGGACGCACACAAGGAAGAAACGTGGTATTATCAGATATTGACTGAGAGTTGATGCGATCGTCACCGAATAACCTGGTGAAAACGAACCAACAATCCTTGAAATTTCGGCTGAAGAATGGAAGTCCCAGTGACCTCCAATCAAAAACTGCTGGACATTCTTAAATTTTAGTGAGAAAGACTTCGCCAATGCTTCAAGGATTTCATCCACTGCCACATTACCTTGGCCTTCCCCGAGTTGTAATCGTCCAGCTTGCGTAGCTATCTACACCTAGGCACAAAACCCGAAGATAATGTGTATGTTATTTACTGTATCCGTTTACCGTGCTGTGTTGCTTTCCCCCACATTACAATAAACTTTTCTTAGGGGTGCTGATGGTCTTCGTACTGCTCTACGCAGCATACCACCAATGCACGTGAACTTCCGTCGGAAATCAAGGTACGGCGACACACGGCCGTCCCAGATACTGGCGAGGACTCATGCTGAGGTCACGCACTGACCATAATTTACTGTGTCGCTAACGTCGGTTGCATTGTACTCAGGCAGGTCGAAGGGTGTACGCTTCCGCTGTCTACCGAACCTTGCACGCTCAAAATGAAATTCTATTTAAAGTCTTGAAATCGGACGTGAAATCAGGGAGGAAAGACTGATAGTTGCGATAGTTGGTGATAATCGTGTGAGACAGAAGAACCAAACATAGCACGAACTCGAGAGAAAAAAATGATGACGTTGAAACAGATGAACCTAGCCAGTTAAACTATTCATGAACTTCTATAGCCTCTTTTTATATTGCGTTCATCACTGTGGAGTCTTTTGATCCATTCCCCAGAGATATTCAGATCACTCCCAGGGCTTCAGCGGCCTGTTCTTCTGACACCAGATGCCCTTCTTCCGCCCAAAATGTGCATGAAACGATAGACCGTAGGACTAAAACAGATCAATACCTAGACGTGATCAAGGTCTTCTGGGTCGGATATGTTTTGCTACCCCAATTTTCGAGGCCACGTAACTCCATAGACAAAACAAACCTACATTCCCAAAGAAATTCGTAAATAGCCTGAGGAAAGCAACATCTGTCGAGGAATTCGGGAGTGCATTCATGTTTAACTCACTTAGGGGTTAGCGCATTACTTGGAGGTGGGAGGTTGAACTATAACCGATCATATAACGTAGGCACTCTTCTGGCAGTTGGGTGCACATTTTGGTGCCTATTGGTCAATCAAGACAATACACACATTCTAAACCACACCAGCGTTTCTCGACTGTGGATAAAGACCGAGTCAGTTGCGGGAAAATTCGTGACCACATAACCGAGTGCCTATCCAGTCACCTACATCACCTGCTCGACGTGCTATTGACACTGAGTGGACGAATCAACCTAGGTAAGTCTCCGGCCAGATGCGGCGTAGAAAGCTCGGAAGTGATGAAGTAGACCATCGAGCTCACTAATTAGCACATACAAAACCAAACCTGGCCCCAAAACACAATTTAGTCCCACATCTACGTCATTTTCAACTGCAAAAACAATGAAGTCAGAAGCCAGTAACTTCAGAGGCGAGGTGATTCTTGTGGGGTGAGAAGGTTCAACATTTCCGTGTCCATGTTTAGAACTTGATCATTTGCCTATCAACCCAGAAGCAAAAAAACGAAAATTAGATAAGATAGTCCTCATGTATGAAAGGATCCTACGTAGGAAATTACTGGAAGCACTAGTGCACATTATAATTCCAAGCGTCGCTGAGGATGTCAAAAAATAATGCGTTTCCAGATTGCCGCTGCTGTTGTACTATAAGTCCTGTCTACTAGAAAATCTAAAAGTAGCTTGGCCTCACCCGCAAAATGAGGCGAACCAAAGCCAATCCCGTCAATTCGAAACGGTCACCTAAGCGTTAATAAACGGTTGCTTGCTCTTAAATGTCCATCCTTGCCGTGAGACATACATCAACATAAGGTTGTCTTTAAAATCGAGGAAACAAACATACTGACCACTGAGTGGACTGGGTGCCATGAGTTATTGTTTCAGGGTATACTTAACACACTAACTGAAAAAACGTACGAGATCACGAGTGGATAGCTGCATTACTTATCACCATTACTTATCACTTAGAAACCTTGGTGATGACTTCGTCTTAAAGGACAGTGCTTAGGACCAAGCTCTTTCTTCACTATTTTTTAAATTCCTGTTTTCGTCAAAAAAGCCTTACTTATATTCAGTTTACACTCCTGGACAGACTGGAAAACATTTAGCGCTGGCCCAGTGTTAAGGCAGTTGAATATAAGACAGCAAGCAGTGGTTCGATACACCTAAATCGTTTTGTAAATTCTGTTGTTTTTGGCGGAAACTAAACAGCTCGGCAAAACTACACTACTGTGGTGATTGAGAAAAATAACCGGCACAAGGGTCAAAGCACCGGAACATTTTTCTTTCTATGATCGTAGTCGTCATGCTGACCCCATGCCCCAATCTTTACACCTCAGTATGTCTCATCATCATTCTAAAGCTGGAACCCTACTCCTCAGACACCGATGGAGGACCAGAAGTACAACCAATTTACACTCAGCAAGGATAGGGCGTGTAAATCTTCTGATCACATAGCCCAATTCAAGTGATCTGATGTTGGTGGCTTCTGTAAGTTACTACTCCCCAGTGGCAATCCCATGTAATTTATGGAATTCCTTTTTTAATCACATAACCAGACAAACTAGCAAGGGCAACGTCGGATGGTCGGATGGGCCGAACACAAGTCGATGCGAAACTCATACGGGAGACAAGACTTTATGTTGCTGACCAGTGGTCCAAATAAAAAATTTGACTTTAGCAAAGGGTACTGCTCCACTGTAAAGCATCCACCACAAAGTGGATAGGCGTAACACGAAGTTCTACAAACTGCATCGGAAGGCATGGACTTCATCAACGTGTAGACAGGCGAATACGGAAACCAGTAGTATTCAGAGCGTCGACATGGCTCAAACACATTCGCCTGATGAAACAAATCTGTTAGAATTTAAAATTCGTATACGTAACTCGTATGTACATCAAGAAAGATACAGAGGTGTCAGGAACCACAAAATAGTTCATTCACAGAAACAGAGGATAGTTCTAGCCGGAGCAACCTCGACAGCCACAACTCTGGCATTCAACAACCTTCCCCTCCTCCAGTTTGGCTTTCGGTACGCGACAAATACAATTGGTGCCAAAATTTGTGTCCCGAGACTGGATACAACGTAAGCAGCACAAATTTTCGTAACCTTGTTTTTTCCACTTGGCAATCAGATTGCCGTCGGCAATTTTCTCTTTAATACAATAGTCATATAGTTCCTAAAAGGGGTGATAACCAACAGTAGTAATAACAAGAAATTACCTTAGTTATGGCCTTCCGCTTGTAATAAAGATCATACACAAATCTGGAACGTTTGTGGTGAATGCGAAAAATGGGCCACTCGGCTTCAACTTTCCGCTTGCCCTCGTGTGGGTCTGTTTCAGCTTCACGCATTTTTCGATTCAATTCTTCGATTGTCGGCTCAATTAATTCCCAACCCTCTGGAGGTGGCTTCTTATTTCGACGTGTAGGAGCCATTGAGCACCTGTAAAGAGATATTACGATGAAAAGCTGTGGCTTATAATGCACAATAATCAAACGAAATAGTTTGCAAGCTGCATAATTTTGGTACCATGCATTCAGGTGAAAAGGAGAATTGGACTGACCTATCCCTTTAAACGAACTCATCAGTTGGTAGCAGTGAGAACGAAATTTTCAGAACGGATAAGACTCCGTTTAACACATTCTTGCGAGTACTTTGGGTCAGTTACATCAATAGAACATTGATTATTGCCCCATTTCTTTCCAATCGGAGTCAAGGAGTTGAATGCAAGACCTCTAGGGTCCGGTCCGAGAAAACGCGATAGGCCTACTAGCCGGTCCGAAAATGAATTCGCTCAAAATTTTTCGAAGCGTGTCTTTAGTTCGTGCCTATATTGTTGACGGGACCCTCTGTATATATAATTCAGCGTTCAGAAATGGCAGCGGTTCGTGAAAAATGGGTCTAGCAACAACCGAATTTGACCGCGGATCCTCCCAGTTGGTAAGGCCTAGAGCACGAGCTAGTGGCTGTAAATTGCACACGTGCAACTCTTATACGCGCTCTACCTAGATGGGTCGAACTGACAACGCTAATAATGCCCTTAGGATTTGGGATCGTTTTCAGTCTCTGGAGCCAAGGAAGTGATAAGACTGATGAGGATATGGCTGTTATGCCACGCCAGCTCATTAGCAAGCAATTCCGCAGGATGACAAAATATCGTCAGTGATGAAATACTGTGCAGATTGATCGCCCTCGGCTCAAAAATGGATCCATTTGGAAATCCGTGCTCGATAGGTTTGCAAGAGCACTCGACGTCTTACGACAGCCTTTAAAAGCTTCAGTAAAGTCGGGAATCAAGTAATGTCTTTTGCGCGTCACAGGAATACTTCCGGGAGACCTACCACCATGTAGCCTCTGTCGATGAAGTCATATTCACTATCCCTTCGCAGCGGTTTCTACTGAAGTGCAAGGATGAAAGAGGTTGTCAGGCGCCACTGTTTGGTTGACGGTCCACTGGCTATCCATCCATGGGGGTTGGCTAAACCCCAATTCCCAACCGAAAACAACAGTAGCAAACTACCTCCGGTAGCTTCAACTGATGAAATTACCTTCGGTTGTCATGAAGGTGCTGTTCCTGTGCACTTGTTCGAGCAAAGATGTCTCTCTAATAGGACAGCCGTACTGCTAGCTGTGGCCGATATCTTCACACCATACCTGGAAGATTCCTCCCCGTAAGAACTCTCTGATCCAGCGTGACCGGTCACTGCCCTCACAACTAGAAACCGCTGATTGACCGGATCAAAGGCCTTATAAGACTCAAGGTAACATACTTCCATCTCTAGGAACTCGTCGCCGAGTGAAGAAAGTGTATGAGATCCGTGACGCCAGCATTCCCTTGGACATGCTGCCCGCCATATATA